GATTTTTATTCGCATTTGGACTCTTCGAAAGAAGTACTCAATTCACAAACACAGTTGTAGGGACGCATCAGTTGCTCTAGAAGACTGGACAAGCCCTACCACACAAATGCCATCCTCAATACTTATAATAATGGAGCTCTTATCCAATACTAAAAACCTGGGGAAGCTGAACGTTTAACCTGCACACAAAATAAATATGGAATCTGTTTAATTATTTATGAACTGTGAAATACAACACACATTTTCAACACGTCGATCGTTAAAATCATCAAATATGAGAAAAAGATTATAAAAAAATGTTAGTTTTAAACCTAGTTTAAAGGCCAAAATAAATACACTAAATAACCCAATATATGTATATGTATATATAACTGAATCATCGTATATCGGAATTCGTTACTCCAATAATGTGCAGAAAATGCGTTAAACTTTTGTCTGCTGGTAAGAAACACTTTCCTAAAGGAAGGCCGATATAAATGCACTGTATAGCACAATATACGTATTCAACGGTAGAATAACGAATAAGTTATTGCAATAATAAACAGAAAAGGGCGTAAATCTGCATTAAATTTGATCCTTAACAGTTTCTGAGAAACATAATTATGAAAGACGGAAATGACTGAACAAGATGAATCCTCGGAAGCCTCTGATGTGAATATTGGGCCTTGAAAGTCTTTCGTCCAATTAATTCAGAACATTGAACTTCAACACGACAGGTTACTGCTGTGATGAAGAGAAGTGGCGAAGAGATTTTCCAATTTTTTCAGATCCTTTCCAGTTTTGGATTTTTGAAGGCCTCGTGTAGGGGAACTTTTAAAACTTTTTGTCTTGTCATTTGAACGCTCATTTCAATTTTGGGGGTTTTGGTCATTGTGAAGTTTAGTCTCACCACTAATCCAAAGTACACATGAGATAAGAAATGGACCGGAAGAGATTAAAGTATCGTGATTTGGTTCTAATTAGCTCATATTTTCATCAAGTTACAACACAACAGGGAAATTGATTCTCGACATCATTAAAATCTGATGACATGAAAAAAAAAAGAGAACAGACACGCATGGGGACCGGGAAAGGGAACCCACTCCAGAAGTGTTTGAAACCTTTATTCAACAAATTTGAGCAGTCAACAATCTTTTTTCATTATCAACATAACAACCGGCCACATAAACTCAAAGAGGAGCAGAAAGGTGGACGTGAAACTAAATTTCATTTCCAAAGAACGTGATCACACATAATCATAAACGACTTGTGTATTCTGAATTGTCCTAGACCAAATTTATCAAAAAGCGACAGGTGCTCGTTATATACAACTGTGTAGTGAATTCTTCTGACATGATGGAGTTAATGAATCATAATAAGTGACAATTATTACTGTTATTTCAGTCTCTCTGGTAAGTGTAAGAACTTGTTATATAAACTTGAGATTTATGGTGGTGTGGTTCGCTTCAAGACAGTTTCAACAGTTACTGGGGTCTGTATTCAAATTTTTTGTTTGTGCCAGGTTTCTTCAGTGATTACTCTGATCACAACGATTACTCTGATCACAACGATTACTTTGAATACTACGATTACTTTCATGACAACAATTACCTATTCTGATCATAATCAAGAGTGAAAAGATGATCGAGCTATAAACAACAAGGACAAGAGAAGATAACCTACTGACCTGTAGGTATTTAGAAGCTAAATGAAGAAACATCATTATATTTGCTTTGTCTAGAAGAAAATCGGACTAAATTACATGACCACGGGGGACCTCCATTTTGTATAATGATGACCATTACGATTCAGAAATCTATTCCGGAAAAAGAAATGTTCATCAAGCGATTACATATATGAAAACCATTATCGAGGGAGATCTCGGATTTAGTTCACCTTTAATATAGGTCATTGTGTTATAATAATGAATTAAAAAATGTATGGATGGGACATTAAAATTAGAATTTCATGGAGAACACCGACATGCACTAACAAAACGCAATCCATAGAGCCATGGGCCGACAAATCAAGGATGTAGATATGAAATGAGTCCACTATATTTCCTGGAGCATTGAAGATAACAAAATAAAGATGGTAGGCGGAGATTGATTCCTTCAGCTATCATGGATCATTAAAACTGACAAAATAAAAGAGGTAGACGCATGAAAAGAGTCCAATAGCTACCCTGTATCAATCAAACTGACGAAAAAAAAGACACAGCTATTACAACACATTACAGAGACAGTTTTCTGTGATCAAACTATACCAGGGCCATTACTTTCCCCAACAGCACTAAAAGGAACTTGAAGTAGAATTATTCAGCAGTCAATAAGCCATAAGTATAGCAGATAGCCCTCATTAGTGTCAGTTCCTTATCTTTGTGGATTGAGTAGAAATTCTTTCAGTCAACATGGGGGCATAATTAACAGATAACACTAAATAACGGATAGACAGATAGTAAATAAAGCAGAGAGTGGATGAATGATCACTCGATTGAATGAATGAATGAAGTAATAATGAAGACAGCACAAAATAACGAATAGACAGATAGTAAATAGAGCTGTGAGTGGATGAATGAACACTCGATTGAATGAAGACATTACTGATTAACGAATAGCATTGATAGTGTAGTACATTCAAGGGGTTAATGAATGAACTTATGTTAAGAGCAATGAATAACGAATAGACAGATAGTAAATAAAACTGAATGGATGAATGACATTAACTAGAAATTATGGATAGACAGAATGTTTCAACAGTATCCAGAATGAATAAATACCAACTGAAATAAAAACAAATGGTCTTGATAAATGTTATAATGAATAGATGGAAGACGAATAATGAATGGTTGAATGAATAAAGGAATGAATGAATAATAGAACATGATGATTACTTAAGTATTCACAAGCCTATACCATTAACCATACCATTAACACTAACTAGACAGGCGTTTAAAGGATAACATTAATGTATTTTCTGACGAAGACAACGTCGCGATGTAATGCCCAATTTAGCTTGAGGAGGAGTAGTTAATCTACAATTGCATTCGTAATAAACTTCCGTGACCCCACTCTAGTCGAAATAGCTATCAGAGAGCGGTAATGGTCGACAAGACACGACATCGACAGAGGCATGGGCTGAGATTCTTTACCATTTAAGCCAAGAAAAATAAAAGATAAGCTTTTTAACTTTTTTGCAATAGATATTTAGTTCTTTATATATATTTTGCCGTGGTTCCACAAAGTTTGAAAATTAAAAGCTTGGAAGTCCACTCATTTCTGCAATTTATGGAACTTTGAAACGTTTTCCAGTGGCATTGTTGCAAATTGTAGGCAGAATATCTCGAGTTAAACAGCCAGACTTCGTCCCCAACCAAGTATAATATTGCGACTGAATCATTAACGATGACATTTATAAATCGTTCAGTATAAAAAGACTCATTATCCCTAATCGTTGCATCATATGATATCATTGATATCATACAATAATAATAAGAGATAAAAATATATTAGTCACTGGGATCTCGGTCTCAGAGTGAAAGCTGGTGACCCGGTAGACATGCACACCCCCCTCCCTATCCCAAGACAAGAGGCTGTCACGGCGTTGACCCTCACTTTCTAATTTCTTATCATTATATATAGGGAAGTAAGTGCCCGTTGTTAGCTCCATTGAAAATTATCTGGGCCCCCGATTCGCCCCTCTGATTCGAATTCGTAGAAACGCCACTGCCGGTAGGCCAACGACAGGCTCCACAGTCCTCGTTTCCGCCTTCAACTCCAGTCCCAACCAATGATAATATTTTTTCACCCATGTTAAGTTTACTTTGCCACCCTTGGTGCGCTCACAGAGCCCGACTAGATGTTAAAATGTGATATGATTCAGACAATAGCACAATGTTAAGTATTCAGAAATCATTATAACCAGTCATAAATTCCCAACGGCAGTCAAAATTACATCATAAACCCGATATTCAATTCTACAGCAAATAAACTCGACACTATAACAACGTATTCATAGCGGAAATACAAAGGATCGGAAATTAATTTTAGATAAGGACAAAATGTATGATACACAGTATAATAGTCACTGTTATCAAGTGACAGTATTGATAATTCGTCAGTTACACATTCGCGTCTTGTTTGGATGCAAAAGTCTCGTCTTTTCTTAACAGAGTATAATAGTCACAATTATCCAGTGACATTGATAATTTTCTAGTTACACATTCACGTCTGGATGTCAGGTACCAAACAGTCTTGGACAAAATGAAAGTTCTTTACCTTACCATATTTTGTTTCTTGTACATCAAACTCGCTCTCTTGGTTAAGATTTCATGCCCGTAACACACATCGATGGCATCAGACGAGTTATTGTCAGTTTCGATAAGTTCGTGTGCATCTGGCCACATTTTTCTCTTTCGACAGAGTTTAACTAAATTTCACAAGCGTACGGCAAAACAAAACCGTTGTAAACATACATACATTGAAGCAACTCTGTTGGATAATATTAGCGTTATTTGCGCCGTACATTGGTGATAAGACTATAAACTAAACAGTTACACGTGTTCAAATGACCTTATTATTATACAAGGAAAATGAACGTGCATAGGTCAATAGGTCATCACCATACCCGAGTGTCAGTCACAGTTACCAAGTAACGGCGTGTCAAGTTGAGAGCCAGACATAACAATATAGGCCCACTTGATCTATTGACAAGTATGACACTACTATAAACAAAAAACAATCCGACATCATGTGTTCACGATAAACTTAAATTTTATCTAGTATTATTTAAAGACCTCTCGCCGTTCCAATTCACATATTTGTTTCACCTGCTGCCCATCTGCGATTTGGGTTTAAAATCTTTTTATATTTCAATTATCTGTGATAGTATTTGAAATATAATCAATGTCTACAAAGACGAAGTGATAAGGAACCTTTTATAAAATACGGTGTCTATGATTTGCCATGTTTCTAATTTCAGGAATCGACGGAATGATCGACTACATTACCCACGATAGAAAAATGACAGACATCAACGAATGCGATCACGTGCTATTCACAGACGGCAAAAACCATTCGATAGCAGAAGTAAGATCACAACTGATCGAGTTAGAAAATCACGAAGCTTTGATGAAACTTCCGGCGATAATATTCATAGGTGTTCTTCTTCTCGTTGGATTAGTGGGAAATTTCCTTGTCTGCATCGTTTATCATTTGAAATTCCCGCCAAGCACATCGAAATATTTCATCATGGCGCTAGCTGTGTTCGATTTGTTGAACTGTACCATAGCCATTCCAGCAGAAATGGTGGATCTGCGATTCGACTTTCATTTCAATTCGCCGTATGTGTGTCGTATTATGCGATTTACGATAAGTTTCAGCACTGCTGCGTCTGCATGCACGTTATTAGCCATAGCAACGGACAGATATAGAAAAATATGTCATCCATTCGGGCGGCAAATGAATTCCAAACAAACAAAATTGGGGATAATTCTTGCTATAATTGGAGCTTTAGCCGTTTCGTGGCCAGCAACAATTTTGTACGGTCGCAGCACTAGCATTATGGAGGGCCTCCGCGTTGCAGATTGTGCGTTCGATGACGATATGATAAACACACCGTACCCGCAAATCTACATCTCCGTATTAACTGCCATGTGTTTGACCAGTGTGCTGACCCTAATCGTACTTTACACGTTGATAGTGATGCGAGTGTGGAAGCAAAAGAGAGCTCGGGGTAGGTTCCAGTCACCAGTATCGAACGGACCACAAGAACCACGATGTTCAAACTTCAGGTTTAATTGTTTCGAAGGACTGGAAAATCGAAGCGAAAGTGTTGAAAGCGACATTTTTAGTGCGACACAAGATCAAAATGACTCCACAGAGAAACGGAAAACGCATTCGTACAGTGTCCGGACCACGGTAATGCTGGCCTTAGTAACAGCAGTGTTTATTCTCAGCTTCATTCCATTTTTCGTTTTACAAATTTTGAAAAACGCGATTCCAAATTTTGAGAGGAACCTACATTGTAATCATCCAGCGATGGTTTCGTACAAATTTTTCCTCCGATCAATATTCCTTAACAGTGCAGCAAATCCGATTATATATTCGTTTTGTAATCGACAATTCCGAACAGAGTGCAGGGACTTTTTGGGGCGAGTTTGCTGTTCCCGACCATCGGACTGCTCCAGACCGTCATCCTCTGACGAACCGATTGAAATACCAGAAGCTGAAAAGGCTGATCCTAAAGTATTATGATAGTAACCTCAATTAAATGTCTGTGCCTGTCCTTTCGTAACATTACTTACTTACAACCTAAAATTCCCAGTTAAATAGGTGAACGTTATTTTAGGGTATCCGGTTACGAAGCGAAAGCGTCGGTCTAATGACTCTCTTATACCGTACTTACAACAAAGGGGTTTACCGATGAACCAAACCAATGAAAAGTTCTGTACTTATTCTTCATATTTCCTAATTATTGAAAAGACTTGAAGCATTATATCTTACTTAGACCATTAACGTCGTAAAATGATTTTTAAATATTCAATAGTTTAAATATATTTTGTTAATTAAAAAAAATATTTTTTATTTGGAAAATTAAACGAGTATTAGCAACCATTTTGTGAGGTTCGTCATCAGAAGCTTCCAAGAGTGGCTTCCCAGAATACGTTGAAGGGAACCACAAGAGGATTTCTAGTCTCTGTAAGAGCGATGGAGGAAACACGCAGCTTCTAGCTGCATCATTCATTTTACCCGTTCGACGTCTTTTGTTTTTCGCGAGATTTCTTTTAGATTACCAGAACTACAATCGTTGTTAAGAATAATATCATAAAGTGCAAAAATATCTTTGTTCCAAAGGAAAAACATAGCATCACATAACAACATGCTTGATTTTAAAACGAGAGATTTCATTTTCACAATAAAAAACATCACACTTATAAATATAACAAATAAAACGTGAATTCAACAATAAAACAACTTTCATACAACCAGAAAGGTGAAAAAGGGCATTGAGAGAGGGAGTTGGGATTTGGGGCTTCTTTCAGCCGGTAAATAAACGAAAATCAAAATTTGTTAAATTAGATCGTAATGAACGAGTTCATGCAGGATCACTAGTTCGGGATCAAGATATATACGAGCAGCAATCAGAAAAGATTTGGCATCTAAGATCGTCATTGGGACGTCATTATATCAAAACAATATAACAGTTAAAAAGAAAACAGTCGCTGGTTTTTGTCGTGGCTGGAATCGGGGTCGAGGTAGTTGAAAGGTGGAGGAACTCCACTGGTGGAATAATCCATAGTGTCGTAAGGAGGTGGGGCGTACATTGGTGGTTGTTGTTGCATTGGTGCACTCGGACCGCTGATGGTGTGAACCGGTATGACATGATGACCACCTTGGACGTGATGAGCGTTGATCATTTGAGCTCTCATGTTTTGTTGTCCAATTCTCATATCAGCTACCCGTGTCCTCTTGCTCTTCCCAGCGTGGTAGCAGAGGAAGACGATGAAGATCAAGAAGAGAATGGCACCAATGGGAATGAAGACTCCGAGGCAAATATATAGGATAAGAGTGGAACGTAAAACTGAATCATCTTCAAATGGGTAGTCTTCGGATGCTGGAAATTTAGATAAAACGTTAATAGAAAGAGGAACTGAACGTCGAATTTTCATTCTTAAAAGAGGTACATATGGCTAAAAAGGTCGCTTTAGTTGGAAAATAAATAAAATCTAGATGCCTTTAAGATCTAGGCAATACAGCACTTACCCAAAATTTTGAATCGAAATCCTTTGTATTGGCCATTTTCACTCTTAAAAGAGGTAGATATGGCTAAAATGGTCGCTTTAGTTGGAAAATAAATAAAATCTAGATGCCTTTAAGATCTAGGCAATACAGCACTTACCAAAATATTTGAATCGAAATCCTTTGTATTGGCCGGAACTATCAGTTTTAAACACCATTGACGCCTTATTGCTAGACGAGAACAAGTGATCCGGTTCATTGTAGCCGCAATGAGTTCCCTCCAGTGAAGAATAAATGGGTTCACCTAAACGAAGACAAGTGAAATACAATGTTACTTACGTCTGATGCTTGCATCTTATTGTCCTAATAAAAATGATAAAAAAATGGGGTTTTGCATCGTAGCTTTTGAAAAGCAATTTTTACAGCGCAAAGACGAAGGGCAACATCATAAAGTGTTTGATGAGGGGTCCTTAAAATGCTGTAGCAATAATGGCCTCGGTATTGGTCTGGCTGACCTGAATTGAGTTACATGGGCGTATCACAATGAAAGGGGAAGTACATCCTTATAACGAGATATCTCACCATCGTAAATCTTCAATTTGTCATACGTGCAGGAAGAACTGCTCTCAAGCCGGAAATCAGTGAACTCGATTGCCACTTTCCAGTCTGGGCGGGAACTTATAATTCGGATGGTGTCATCCACATTGCTGTGAAAAAAAAAGATAAAATATATTGGGTTTCATTTTTTTTCTAGTATTTGTATGTATATCAGTGAATAAGGTACCGAATGGCTTGTGGGTATCATCTTGAACCCAAAAAGATCGTCAACGTTAAAAAGTGATTTCCAAACATACGCTTGAAAAATAAAGTGGATGGAGCCAAATAAGGCTTTTAAGTCAGAATAATGGCTTGTTACATCAAGGGATAGATATACCCCGATCGCAATTAATATGGTTTCGGGCATCCGGCAACTCTCGGTAGTTTCCGTAAAGCTGAATCAGGCTAAAGCAAGATGTCCTACATACCTGGGGTAGTTCGAAGGATAATTTGGCGACGTGAAATACTGCGGCGTTGCAGTTGCTGTCAAAAGTACAGATGTACTCGATACACCTACAAAAAAAATGTTTCAAGTCCTCATGGGGATTGACAGAGTTTTAATGGTCGGCTTCAGAGACACAGATTGTTTATTGCCTCGAGTTTGGTCTAACGAACATGGATCAATATAACAATGGAAGAACATCCGAGGAAATTGACTCTTGAGAGTGCCGAAGCTCAGAAAGCACCCCTACCCTCCTCCCTAATTTATGGTACTTCATAAAACACAATCTTACCATCCAAGAGTAACAAGTAAAGGGGGACCGATAGTAGCGTCTTCATCATTTCGATTCTGTCCATGTCCGAAAGTTCCTTCACTTCACAGTTCACGTAGCTCTATCACATTTCCTTACAGTTACCTTGTAACTAATGTCGAAAACTGTACCGTTTGGTGTAAACACAAACTGTATCCATGGACGCATTACAAATGCGTAAGTTTCATCAAGCACTATTCTGATTGATTCAATCATACACCGGTAGCCAATAGAATGGCGTAGATTTCAAACTGTGTAGGATTAATGAATAATCTAAGACTAAGGATTATCGTGTTAATGGATTAAGTAACAATGGATATAATAAGTCGGATCAAGATTAATCACCAATATATAAATTAATTGGTCTTAACCGAAAAATATGGCCACCGTTCAACGTAAGAACTTATGAAACCAAAAGATTTAAAAGAGGGGTACCGCCTACCGTTTTTGGAAAATACATTACAAAAATATCTGGACCAATACGATGGATTTTAAGACTAAAGAAACTCTTTGTTTATATATCGGGACAGTTTATTACATAAAATTACAAATAAAACACAAATTATCGTCCTTGTTGAATCTTTAAATTTCACTTCATTGGTTAAGATCGTCACAACAAACAACAAGAGTTCAACAAGAGTTATTAGACGATTCTTTCAACTTTTTCCGTTATATAAATCTGTTTTAAGTCTCTCAGTAATTTCTCCTTTTCTTTTTCTGGAGCAAAACAAGATCTTGCTGCATTGAAGATCTGTAAAACACACCAAAAGCATTTGACAAAATTTAATAATCAAAGAAAACAAAGCTGTACTTACAAATTTGATAGGACGCATCTTAAATGGAGGTCATGATGGTGCTGCGATAGAGAGAAATGGGGACGTAAGAGTAGTACAGAAAGGGAGGTAATACTGGCACATGTTCTGCTATCCATATGACCCCAACGTTGCATTGGGTTCTGCTATCTTGAAAGATGAATGCTTTAGTGACACGAGAGTTGGGAATGCTACCTTTTACCTCTACCCCAAAGACTGTCCATTATATTAGGAGTGACGACCTACCGAGTCAATAACTTGCTGTCGTGATAGACCAGCATCAAGAGCCATCTGATAGTCTTCAGCCAAAGAGTTGGTAAAAATCACAGGATCGTCAGTATTGATAGAATAATTGGCCTTATCCTTAGCGAAACTGAAAAGAACCACGAACATTTATTTGAGGATTACGAAACTAAAAAGTTATCTTAGCTTCAGACATAGCAGAAGATGCAGGGAGGAAAATAATTAATGTTAAGCGGGAAGTGCGTTTTCACCAAAAACAAGCCCTTCCCCCGACAGGACCACCGCTTACCGAAGCAACGGATGTTTACTGATGTCAGTCCCTACGGCAGACGTCCGGATACTCGAGATGGGACATAACTCGAAATGAATTTGCTGATGAAGAGCTCTCTGGTATAAAACTGGATCATCAAGACTCACGTATCCATGACCAATTCGTTCCACTTTAAGCTGATCCATGGCCTGAAAGAAAAGAGAAATCCTTATTCTGTACTCAAAGACATTCTTTGACTGGATACTGTATATGTGGATAACGAAGGAGCAAAGGTTAATCAACACACTGACCTCCTGTACTACCTTTGCAGAACCAACTTCTCCAGCATGAGCTGTTCTATGGATACCAAGTCGTTCTGCTTCCTGTAAGGAATATAAAACCCATTAAATACCATAAAAGCATGGGTTCTAAGAAGGAACGAAGAATGCAGTTTAGACTCTTCAATCTGGTCATTGGTAACATCTTGGGATGGTTCTCTTCAGCATTTTCCATAGCCATTTATAGCTGGTTCGATTGACACTCACGATCAACAATACACCTGACGTACCAGAAACGCTTTCAAATGAAGAGACTCTGAAGAACTATCTTGTCCACAGACAGGGTACTCTTCACCAGCTATATCAATACCCACTACACCCTCATCCTGGTACCTTCGACACAGATCTACCGTTTCCATTGACCACTCTACAAAAGGGACAAACTATTTACATATTTCGAATACAATCGGTTACATAATTAATATACCCAATAGACATTAATATCCATGTGGATTCAAAGTTGACAAACACAGTAGCAGACGGGCATCAGGCGTTGTAGAAGGTTAAGCATGCCCTGACTCGCTAGATATGATATGACTTTGCAAGTTACCATTAATCGTCATCATCATAATTTTTCCGCTAATCTAAAGCATCATTTTGACACACCCGAAGACTCAAAGGCACAAAAAGTACACCATAGCCTACCTGGACGGTGTCTCATGCAGCACAATATGGACTTCACATTCACCCCAAAGTCCTCAGATCCTTTTTGAAGCCCATCACTTATTGTGGACACCACGTCACTTGGTGAAAGGTTTCCAGATTTCGAAGAATGTTCTGGTTTTTCACTGTCGTTGGCCATTTCGTGAGGGGAATACCTGGCCTCGGCATACTTTATGCCTTGTCGAGCACAGTCTTCGCAAAATTCGTAAGCTATTCTATACAGTGCTTCACTGTCACCTCTGAAAAGAAAAGGGTTGACTTAGACCGACAATCTGGCCCAGACCTTCAGTTTCCCAGATTTGTTCGCCATTTTGGAACGCTTCATCACCACCCACAAAGAAGAATTAGAAGCCACGAAGCATCAGAACTATGGCGATGTAGCAGAATCTTAAGCGGCCAAAGGTTACCCGCACAGGGTACCAACATGAACTCGCTACATTGGTGGATCGTCGCGAATTCATAAGTACTTACGCAAGAACAGGCATAAAGGTATCGAATGCTCGGAGTAACTGCTGTAGCGATGATGGTTCTTTGAGGCAAATCACGTCAGTAAGGCTCTTTAGGTCATTGTACTCCCATTGGATATCTCTTTTACTAAAATTGAACGGGAGATAAATTAAGTCCAAAGGGAGAAACGCCGAGTATTTTCGACCGCAGTCTGAGGACAAGACTGCTTCGGGCAATTTATCTACTGTCCCTTTTCAAGTAGTCTGCTGATGGACTGTAACTAATCACATAGTACCTTAAACACCTGTTAAATGACTATAAATATTTACTCATACCTAGCTATATCAAGCAAAGTCTGTGGACGAACAGATCCATCGATATGAACGTGAAGCTCAACCTGAAAAACGGGATGTTTACTTGCATAAAGCTTCTTTAGGTCCAATTCAATGTTATAACTTATTTCTTAACGATCCAAGGGGAGTAACTCTGCAACTCAATTCAAAATAAGAGAGACCATTACGATACAATTGCTTACACTCTAAATCTCTTTAAGTTGATATAAGCGCTCGAGGGTGGGGTTGTTTGCCCAATTATTTTACCTAAATCACAATTGCCTCACGCAAATAGTTTTGGCCTCTGCGAGAAAATACATACGAATGACCACAGACTTCAACGTCTGTGAAGCTCATCAAATGTCGTGTTACATCTAATAATAATCGATGACCTATGACCTATGGATTAACTACCATACCGTTCTGATTTGACCCAGTAAATCGCAAGCTTAGTTAGTTTTGCTGCATACACATGGACCTTACAATACGGTGCAGGTTAATTGAAGTATCTCGTCCAACGTTAATTCAATTAAAAAAAACAAAGTTCACTATATCATAAGAACTCTACTCACCTTGTATGGGAACGGATTCGATTTGGGAGGATCATCCTTCGACATGTTACCTATTTCATCTCTATTTCAAAGGATCTAAAAATAGAATTAAATGGGACACTTTTATAGATCATTCGGGGCACTCCGTATAACTCACAAAGGTGATATCTACTTAAGAGATTTTAAAAATAATCTTGCTTGGTTGAACGACCGAATGAATTAATGAACGAATGAATGAACGAACGAATAAATAAATGAATGAATGAATGAATGAAGAATTGTGTTATTCACACCAAGTTATAAACTATTATGAATTATTATAAACTATCCGAAAAGAGGTTACACTTGAACTATTTTTTCAGTTTCTTGGACTCACGTTCAGCAAACACTGGAACAATACTCAAGTCTAAATCATTAGCGACAATTATCGATCCTAGTGCCCCTATTAAATGCTATTGATACCACTATTAAGCATTGTTCTGGGCGAGAAAGGGGCTGATCCTTTGAACCCTTGGCAGTTTTTTGTAAGGGTCACGTTTGATATTAGGTCTTAATGGAAGCACTTTTAAAATAGTATGAGATGACGTCATGAAAGAAATTAACAAATCAAAGAGACAGAGCCACGTAAGAGAATGTTGTGGTCGATGCACCAAGCCACAAGTATCATATTTCCACCATTCTTAAAGAAAGATATGTTTTTAAACGCCCATATTCAAATCAAACATCGATGACGTCACAAACCCCACAAGTAATATCACTTAATCACGCAAAGCATTATACCTTTCAAATATTCCCCTAAATGTCCGTCTCCCTTGAATCCTTACAGCTACTTAACAGTTTTGTTAACCAAATAAAGGTCTAAAGAAACAATCTTCTAAAGTGTAAAAGGTAAGCCAGTATCTTGTCAAAGAGACCAACCAACAAACGCAATAAAAAGAGAAGAACTAATAATTCGGATATGTAAGAAATAATCATAAGAAAAATGGGGAACAAATTTCACAGAGTCGTTAGGACAATTTATATTTTGTTCTTTGTTTGGAAACTATGTGGTAAGTTAGTGAATGAATAATATCATTCCTTTGTTGCATCTTCAGAAGCTTCTGGGTCTTTCCAACACGTCTGAACATCCCGTGTGAACTAGCTTGAAGCTTCGAGACCTTCCAACCAAGATCGCAACAAAAAGCAGAAGAATGAACTTCGCAACCATCGCAATTAGAATTCAATACGGCCTGTAGTGCACTAGTTTTATTTTGGCAAGCTTTGAAGCACACATTCACTTCCGTGGCATGTTTTTTTCTTCAATGAATTTAACAAATCCTCGATCAACAGTCCATGACGAAAATATCAACCTTTTGTGTCAAAGCCTCCAATCTCTCGGTGTATCAAGATTGCGTTACTTTACTGATGAAACATGTTTTCTTCTTACAGATTCTGCCGTACCCACATGGAAGGATAACAAAAGCCGTGTTAAAGGAGACCTACCCGAGGGTTTCAGCAGTCCCGCCTTCTACCAACTGCCATGCATTGATGCCGATAATGATCCGATCACATTCACCGGAAATTGGGACACCTCTGAAGGCCCCAACTACTTTACTTTTGACACTACCAGTAAGTACTAAAACACGCTTATCCTAGCAATTCTTAACCTATTAAAACATTACAAAGTAACTCCTTCAGGAATACCAAGAATCTCAGTATTCCCGGACCAAAAACAAAATGAAACTATTAATAATGAGAGTCAATGCATTGCTTGTTTAACACCGACGGATACAATATTACCAATATTTGGAATCCTCCGAACACTATTCTCATGATATTCTACTGTATTTAATTTCCCGGCATGATTCCGAAAAGGATCCTAGAGGACTTTCCACCGCTACTTTATCCTGTTCTTGATATATTACAGCTGGTATTCTCGGCGTTAAATCGGGGGCAAGATTTGATCTGGACACCCTACCACAGACCGTCTTTATCCTAACAGCTTATGGAAACGACGGGACATCCAACACTGCCGTACCAATTACAGTTACTTTGACTATCATTGCCAGTGATCCGCCCGATATTCTTCAAAATGATCTTAGCTTTACAGTCGACGAAGGGGCGGTAAGTAAGTGGCAGATCGTTTGAGGTACGGAACGTTGGACCTGTGTACCGGAACATTGCTTGCCACTGTCTGGAATTTCTCATCCAGGAACCCGTTTCAGAGAGTTTCGATCGTAGTAATGGATGCTGATTCTAAAACATCTGATGTCAATGTACGAATGGCACTTTCAACTCGACATCTAGTCATCAGAGCCTACAACGCTATTGTTGTCCTTTTACTATTTCAGAACGGAAAAGCGTTGATACCTGCTGGTGGATTGTCCAACTCTTCCTACACCACGGACTCAGCTGGCGATGCTCTAACATTCGCTATACTACCAGGTTCTGCCAATGTAGACTACTTTACCATTGATGCAAATACCGGCATGATCAGGTATTTCAATCTATCTTCATAACAATAACATTTTGATCTTCTTTGAGAGAGTCCACATCATCAAATTATATTCATCCAATAATGACTTTCATTCAGTGCGTCTAAGGAACCATTTTCATCCATTTTAGCTATGCTAAAGATTACTACATAGACGGAGCAAGTCCACTTCCGTCTACAGTTTCTATGGTCGTAGAGGTCACGGACGAGTTCGGAGAAAAAGACACTGCTAATGTTCACTTCACCATCTTGGACGTTAACCAGAAGCCACAGTTCACTAACCTACCGACTTCAACCAGTGTCGCTGAAGACCTTTCTCCGGGCAGTTCTGTTTTTACAGTTACAGCAACGGACAAAGACTCGGCGGACACCGTAACATATTCAGCAACATTTGGAACTGGTGCCGACATTTTTTCTGTCGACCCTACAAGTAAGCTTTTGTTGTTGTTAATGTGTGATCCTGGTTGAGCAAATACAGAAGAAAAAAAAATCTTGTACAACGTAATTTAAAACAACCACATGGCTGGAATCGGAATCTTATAGGACAAGAATTTTCTCATTAGCTCCTAAAAGTTTTTATTTTATTATTGAGTAACTTTGGTATCAATCTCTTTTCTTGCCTTCCCAACAGGTGGAGAAGTCACGCTGCAGGCGGGGAAGAGTTTGGACTACGAAACCCAAAAGAGTTTTACAATAACGGTTACAGCAGATGATACCAAAGACACATCCACCGCAGTACTCACCATTAAAGTCACCGACGTCAACGAAGCACCGTCTTTCGATCAAGCTGTGTACACTGTCACAGAAAATGAAGGACTGGTGAGTAAACTTAGGTTTAAACATATTGGAACCTCTTTTTAATCTTGAAATGTGATTCCAGTCGCTTTGCTCTACACTGAGCTATATCCCAGCAATTTTTACGCAATTCTATTTTCAGGCAGCAGCTACATTGACCAACACCGGATTTGGATCATCCACATCCGATCCTGAAAGTGATACGCTCACGTACCGGATCACCGGCGGAACATATGCCAACAAATTCACCATGAACTCCAACACTGGCGCCTTTACATATGCATCAGATTACGAAGTAGATGCTTCATCCCCACTGCCAACGAATGTGGTCTTGGATATCGAGGTCGCCGATCCTGGTGGACTGACCGGAACAGCTAAATTGGACATCACTATTCAAAACGTCAATAAGGTAGGATATCTTTGGAGTACATTTCCCAACTGGTAAGACATGATAATCCCATCTGTAAGCTTATCGATAGTTTGGTACAACTCGTCTTTGTAAAAAACAGTAAGAAATAAAACTAGGATGAGATTAGTCGTAAATCGTTAAGACATAACACTTAATTTCACATTTACAGGCACCAACACTTGACAACCTACCAACCACCGTCAGCATTCCCGAGGACAGCACCAGTGGTACCTCCGTCTTCACCGTTACTTTCAGTGATCCCGATACAGGCGACACACTTACACTGAAGTCTACCAGTAAAACGTCCGGTGGTACAGCGAACTTCATCATCGACGCCAATAGTAAGTAAGCAAATAGGAAGTCTTAGGACGATACTTGACTGATTATAGTGGGACTGATGGCTGTAAATTTTAATCCGTGGCTCTTGGCTTCATCAATGAAATTGATCTGATGGTATTTGCTACACGAATTAATGAAACATGTATGAAACAAACATACTTTATCATTTTTAGCCGGAGAAGTTAAGGTCAAGTCCTCAGCAAGTTTAGACTACAACTCACAGAGTCAGTACATCTTCTCATTCGAAGTATCGGACGGAACCCTGAAGTCCACAACTAAAGATCTGACCATTAACCTCATCAGCGTCAACAAACCTCCCACCTTTTCTTTCACCACATTCAGCGTCACTGTTCCCGAAGGCAAGGTAGGAGCAATGAATAAATATACCGTCATTAATCATGGAAGCTCCATAAATTCAGTTTAACACGTTTTAAGCCCCGAAGGCAAGGTAACTGATGAGTTCATATTTATGGATAAATTAAAGCCATGTTTATCCACTATGTCAAGAGTGACTGTACCTGACGGAAGTCTACAGAAGTACTTTCAAAGAGTATCCACAATATATTCAGATATATTTCTGGTAGCAAGGATGTCGCTTTTAATTTTTCAGGCAGGCTACACATTCCCTGATCCCGGAATAAAAGCAAAAGCAACAGACCCAGACGGAGACGCGATTACCTTCTCAATTGTGACAGGAACGCACAGCGACAAGTTTGCCATAGATCCTAATACTGCTGTGGTTAGCTACGCCCAAGATTACGAAGTCGATCCAACAGCTCTACCAAACAATGTTGTCCTTACCATCCAAGCAGCTGACCCTGATGGACTTACCGTCACAACCACCCTGGACGTTACCATCACAGACGTAAACAAAGATCCGGTCTTGGACAATTTAGATGCTACGACATCCGTAGTTGAAGACCTCACTGGTGGAAGCACGATCTACACTGTTAAGATGTCAGATCCCGACACTTTAGATACACCAACTCTGGAGTACAGTTTTGTGGACACCAGCAGTGCTGCGTTGTTTGACATCAACAAAAGCAGTGA